TGTGGTTTTAGGCGTCATACGTTGGTGTTTTTGACACTCTCGTTTTACCACTAACATTTCTCTTTTTAGGTTACCCAAAAGTTAGGTTAAAATTATTTGAATTTCCTTGAGGAATATACCCTCTGGGAGTTTCTCCTCTGTGTTTTTCATTTTCTGGTATCTAAGATGAACCATTAGAAGATCTCCCGTCAAAAGCAGATAAGAGTTTCCTATAAAATACTCCTTTGCATCCATTCTGTTGTTTGGCATTCACTGAATCAGGCTATTTGTGTGCTGACTCTCAGAGCCACAGAGAAAAGATGTATCTCTTGTTATGGAGCGCTCACCCTGTATTGTTGAAGACAATACATGAATTAACAATTACAACACATCATGATAAATATTACACTGGAGATAATCGGAGGATACCTGGGGATGGAGGCCAGGGCATTGCCCCCAGCTTAACAGGGAGCCTGATGAGATGTAACTCCTAGAAAAAGTGACATTTAAGTGAATCACTGGGACCAAGGAAGACGTGTGTGTGTTCATTTCTATTCTTAACTATTATTTCTATCATTCATTTTACTTATTTATTTATTTATTTATTTGAGACAAGTCTCTCTCTGTCACCCAGGCTGGAGTGCAGTGGTGGGATCTTGGCTCACTGCAACTTCCACCCCCGGGTTTCAAGTGATTCTCTTGCCTCAGCCTCCTGAGTAGCTGGGATTACTACTTGCAGGTGTGCGCCACCACGCCCAGCTAATTTTTGTATTTTTAGTAGAGATCGGGTTTCACCATGTTGGCCAGGCTGGTCTCAAACTCCAGACCTCAAGTGATCTGCCTGCCTCAGCCTCTCAAAGTATTGGGATTACAGGTGTGAGCCACTGCACCCGGCCTCATTTTATTTACCTTTTGAATAGCAACACATTCACATGTTTGACAGTTCAATAAGTGTGAAAGCAGATATAGAAATGCTGTCCACCAGTGTGACTATTTTTCTAGTAGCCACATTTTAAAAAGTAAAATGAAACAAATGAAATTAATTTTAATACTATATTTAACCCAACATATTCAAAATATTATTTCAACATCAATCAACATAAACGTATGTGAATGAGATATTTTACATTCTTTTGCTCATACCAAGTTTTCAAATTGTACAAAGTGCATTTTACACTTACAGCATATTACAATTTGGAACAGCCACATTTCCATTGCTCAGTATTTGTCCGTGGCTAAGTGGCTACAGTATGAGGCAGCACAGATATATGATAATAAATTTTTCTCTCATTTCTGTCCTGAAGCTACTCAGTTCCCCTCCCTAGAGGTAGCCATTGTTGGTAGCCTCAAGTGTGTTTTTCCACAGATAGCACATAGACAGGCGATTACAAACATACATACGCAAATGATAGGACAGTAATCACACCTCTGTGCATCTTTTTTCACTTAATAAATCTTGGATATGTTTCATATTATTACATAGGAAACAACCTTAATTTTTTCTTTTTTTTTTTTTTTTTTGTTGCTCCAGGGTTCCTCATTTTATCGATGTCACAATTATTCAGTTAGTCCCTATTGATGGGCATTTAGGTGGTTTCCAATATTTGGTGCTTATGCACAATTTGGGATACATTTTTAGAAGCAAAGAGCAACAGGATCTAGCTCGGTGATGATAGGGGAATGACTCTAGAGAAAGGGACTATGAGGAAAGAAGGCATCGAGGACAAGGACACATGGTAGGTGGGATAACTTCTTGTGGCTTAAGATGGCTGGATAATAAAGTGTGTGCGAACAAAAGACGGGGAAGAGCCTGGAAGGGCAGGAAGAGAACATATTGCAAATAGTCTTGTAATTGTCATCTGAAGGGATTTGGACTTCATCCCAAAGGAGAGCCATCAAAAGATTTTAAGCAGAGGAGTATAAATAAATGTTTCAATTAATAAATATATGGAAAAGGAGGGAGAAATCATCTATACTAATGAATTCTGATTAAATGTAGAAGGCATGAGGGAAACAGAAAATCACTATTAGAACACTACAGTAATAATTGCTGCAGGCAAGATCTACAGGTGAATGTTAAAATTAGCCAGGAAAACAGGATATTTGCATAGCCTCAAAGTATCTCCTTCAAAATATGTGTGCATTTGTGATGGTTTTAATATGTCTGAATATTCTTGGATACTCCCCCTCCAGAAAGTAGAGCTTAATTCTATGGGATTTACCGATTCATTTCTAATAAATAGGACATGGAAAAGGAAAAATACTGTCTTTACAGTGGAGAAACCTGGCAGATACCACTTTAACCACATGGTCAAGGTTAACATCATCAGTGATAAGTCGTGTTGAAATAGTATACCCCGATGAATGTGATAAGAAGGTCATTTTGCTTCCATAGTATTCTTCATAAAAACCCATTAACCCCTGTCTAATCATGAAAAAACATTAGATCAACCCAAATTGAAGGATAGTCTAAAAAATACCTGACCAGTAATCTTCAAGAGTGTCAAGGTCATGAAAAACAAAGAAAGGCTGAGAAGCTGTCACAGACCAGGAAAGACCAAAGAAATGTAATGACTAAATGTAATTGTGGTCTCCTGGATTGGGTCCCTGGAATAGAAAAAGTACATTTTGGGAAAAAACTGGGGAAATCTGAGTCTGTAGTTTAGTTAATATTATTGTACCCATGTTAATATCTTAGTTTATATAAATATATCAGTTATGTAAGATGTTAACATTATAAAGAGCTGGGTGAAGAGATGCTGTGATACTCTGTGCTGTCTTTGTAACTATTCTGAAAATCTAAAGTTATTTCAAAAGAAAAAGAAAAGAATCAGGAGAGTGACATGATTGGAATCACACTTTAGGAGATCCCAGTGGTTGCACTAGGAAAGAGGGCTGGAAGGAGAGAAGAACAGAACAAGAAGGTTGCTACATCAAGTCATGAAGAGATGGTGGAGGGCTGGATGGGGACAGGGCAGCAGGAATGTGGGGCCATAGACCTGCTGCAGAGCTCTCTAGAAGGAAACTCAATCAGACCCAATGATGGTTTGGATGAAAAAGTGAGGGAGTGGGAGGACCCTGTTGTCAGCCCCTGGGAATCATATGGCTAATGATGTCATTTACTGAGATGGAGGAAACAGGAGGAAGAACAGGTTTCAGGGAAACATTAGCTCAGTTTTAGACCTGTTGAATTCAGAGTACATTTGAGGAATGCAAGTATCCATTAGGCAACTGGGTATATTGACCTGCAGGTCAGGAGAGAGACCTGGCTACAGATAGTTGTAGGGAATCGTGGGTGTGTAAAGGGTTGAGACCATTGAAATGATAAGATGGCCCAACAAGGGCAGGTAGAGAGGAAACAGGGCCTAGAACATAAGAATTTAGGAGCTAGATCCAAGGTGTGTCAAGAGTCCAGAGAAATGGTGACAAGGCAATGCCGTCATTAAGAGTCAGGTTCTGGACAAAGGCTGCCAGGGTCAGAATGCTGACTGTGCCACCTACCATTGTGTGACATGAAGCAAATTATTTAATAAGACTGTTGTCATGGTTACATGAAACTATTTTTAAAGTTATTTTAGTAATTTTAATAATACTGGGCTCATAGTGTTCGATGAATGTCAGCTAATGAGAGGCAAAGGAAATCAGAGCCATAGCCCCAGAAGCTATGGGAAGAGAGTGGTTCAAAAAGGAAGACATACATTTCACATCCATTAAGCTGCCTGTCGTCAAAAAATGGAAAATAATAAGTGTTGTCAAGGATATAGAGAAATTAAACCTTCATGCATTGCTAGTGAGAATGTAAAACAGTACCACCACTATAGAAAACAGTTTGGTAGCTTCTCAAAAAGTTAAACATAGAGTTACCATATGATTCAGTGATTCTACTGCTAGATATATATCCAAAAGAATTGAAAGCAGGGATTCAAATAGATACTTGGACACCCAGGTTCATAGCAGTATTATACATAACAGCCAAATGGTAGGACCATTCCAAGTGTCCATTAACAGATGGATGAATAAACAAAATGTGGTATATCCATATGACGGAATATTGTTTAACCTTAGAAAAGAATGAAGTTTTGATACCTGTTATAGCGTGGACAAACCTTGGGAATATATGCTATGTGAAATAAGTCAGACACGAAAGGAAAAATAGTGTAGTGTATGATTCCCCTTATATGAAGTACCTAGACTAGGAAAACTTATGGAGACAGAGAGTGGCATAGTGGTTACCAGGAGCTTGGAGGAGGGGAAATGGAGAGGTTTAATGAATACAGAGTTTCTGTTTGTGGAAATGGAAAAGTTCTAGAAATGAACAGTGGTGATGGCTGTACAATATTGTGAATGTACTTAATGCCATTCAATTATATACTTAATAAATTTAATGATACATTTATGTTGCATATGTTACCACAGCATTAGAAGTAAAGGAGGACATGGCTACAGAGAAGTAAATACGTGCTAAATGATTATCTTTTGAATTGTGTGACACGGGGGCCATTGGTGACCTTTCCAGAGCCCTTGCAGTAGAGCAGAGAAGTCAAAAGATTGCAGTGGGTTGAAGGATGATTGGGAAGTATCTAGACCGGGAGCTGGCAAACTACTGTCAAATCTGGCCTGCTGCCTGTTTTTTACAAATAAAGTTTTATTGGAACACAGCCACACTTGTTCATGTGTGTGTTATCTGTGGTTGCTTTTGTGTTATAACGGCAGCATTGAGTAGTTGCTACTGAGACCACATGGTCTGTAAAACCAAAAATATTTACCATCCGGCCCTTTACAGAAAGTTTCCCAACCCCTGGCTAGACAACACTCCTGGACTTTGAAGAACTTTGGCTTTCTGAAGTGATGACTGCATTTCTCGTGAGATTACTCAGCAGATAACTTTGCCCCTTCAATTAGGGAGCAGAACAGACCCAAGGCTGAACAGTAACAGTGACTACGAAGGAGGAAGAAGAAAAATTCATTCCTTTCTTTCTTTAACTGGAGATATTATATTATCCTCACTCTACTTTTTTTTTCATCTTATAGACCTGGAAAAAAGGAATGAAAGTTCTTCCCCCTCGTCCCCCAACTGGTAAATGGTCATGTGACTGGTGATAATAAACTTTCTGAGATGGCTGCAAACTGCAGTTAGGTTTAAAGTTTCCTCATTAATGCAGGAAAATGCTCATAACCTGAGGCTTTTCAAGTGTTTATTAATTTACTTTCTGGGGCTGGCTGCTGATATTTATTTCAGATCAAAGAGAAAGTCTGTGTCTTTAGTACTTACTGTGTGCCAGGAACTGTGCCACATTTCGTGCCTAGGTGAGCTCACTGGTAGTCGTCATAAGCATTGGATGGCATTTTTCTATTTCACAGGAGGGGAGACCACGGCTCACCAGAGTTAAATACTCACCCATACATGCACAAAGAGTTTGAAGCACAACTGGAGTTTAACCCACACCTGCCTAAATCCAGGACCTCAGAATGTTTCCACTACACCATGCAGTCATCCTATCCTCTGTGGTCACCAAAAGCCTCAGAACACTGCCTTGAACCCATTCTAGGCAGAATAAAACACTAATCTGTTTTAAACCGTGATCCCTGCTATTTCAGGATAACAGGTAACCATGTAAGGTGTATCTCAAGTGCACAGTAGGCTTTAGGAAGACCCTTTTCCAAGCCTGCTCCCCAAACTCCCAAGCCCCTCTTTGTTGGTTAGTGTGAGTCTACTCAAAGGTAGCTCTTATTTCTTTTAAAACCATCCTGCATTTCAGCGCACTCTGACAGCACTACGTAACACTTGGGATTCACTTGTTCCCATCTTGCTGCCTATTTTTACACTGTCAGCAATAATTCCTCAAGCTCTTGCTTAGGCATAGTGACCCAGGGATGCAGCAAGAGGGGGCTGTATTGTCCCACAGTTCCCATCCGTTTGTGTCTATACACTTGGTGCACAAACACACACCCTGTGACTTCTTTCCCCATGGAAGCTGTCCTTGATAATGCAACCTTTAACCACCTAGATTTCTGCAACCATCAAATCAGATCTAAAAGGGAACTCGGAGGTCATTCACCCAACGTTTGATTATACCAGTGAGAAAAATAAACTGCAGCCCAGAGAGGGCTGACAACTTGTCCAGGCAAACACAGCTGGTCAGCCCCAGATCCTGCACTAGGAAGGCCCTAGCTCTCCCGGTTCCCAGCCTGGAGCTCATCCTGCTGCAGTTCACTGCCTCCTCCCTGCCTCAGTGGATGAGGGTAGGGGCTGTCCCCCTGCATGTGGAGTGCTTACCTTGGAACCCTTTTCATGAATGAGACCAGATGCAGAACTCCACATTGATCATTTCTGTCCCTCCCCTTTCTGCTTTCTGTTAAAGGCAGCCCCCCAGCTCCCAGCTGGCTCCTGTCCCCTCCCCCAGCCGGGAGAAGTTATTACATGAAGAGATCAGCTTACCAGTTTTCTTCAGAGCAGAGGCTGAGCTCGAAGCGCCGGGTAGTACAGTGAGGGAGAGCCGAGGGAACCAGCGCGGTGCCTAGCGGAACTCCAGGGCTGGAATCCCGAGACACAAGTGCATCTGCTAGCTGTTAGCACTTGGCAGACGGAGTTCTCCTCTAGGGTAGTTCTAACTTTGGGTAATAATGTTTGTCAGCTACCTGATATTAACATTGCTCCACGTTCAAACAGCAGTGTTAGCAAGACCTGGGGGAGAGGTAAGCCAAATAAAATATCTTGTCAGAAGTTGTATTTTTGTCAGTATTATATTTCCTCTTCTATCAACCAAGAGGGATCAGGGAATGGATTTTTATGGGGTGCAAAGAGGAATGCTTTATATTACTTTTGTAGGCTTCTCTTGCCTTTTCTTCTATGAAGACGTCTTTTCTTCTTGAAGAATTTTGTAATTTCTAAAATCTCATTCTGAAGCTGTCTGTACAGTTGCCACACTGGGAAGTTGCTCTGGCCTTGGTGACAGATGCCTGTAGCACGTTTCTCCTGCTGTAGCAGAAAAAAAAAAAAAAGATGTGCCATGTCAGATTTCGATAGGGACTGTTAACCTTTTGAGAATTCT